AACACTTCATTTATTGCTTCTGAACTCTTACTCATGGCTTGGAGAACACAGTTTTCTATCCCTCATTATATCCATTTTTTTTTTTGCTGTCACAGTTCAGCTTTCTGAAGGCCTCTAACACCCTTGGGTGCAGTAGATATAGTGAATATCAACTGAGATATTCAAAACCAACTGTTCATCAAGTTCTTTACATACCACTCTGAACCACCAATGTGACTCCCCATGAGTAACTTGCTAAGGTGCTTAAATATCCTTTGACACTTGGCCCTAGAGCTACAAAACATGCCTGATGTACGCTCAGTTTGAGGCATGTAAGCAATCCCCCCTGCTCAGCCAAAAGAAAGAATAATATCACAAACCTAACTTGCCATGATCAGTTAGAATATTTTTATTTGGATCTCTTCTGTTCATGGAGTGTAGCAGTGTGTGCAAAACTTCATTTCCATGTCTACACGTGTCCTAATTTCCCAGGGTTAAAACTTAAATCAAGTTTTTCCTTTGGGGAGTGCAAGCTGCAAAGAGCAAACAACCTTCATTGAAATAGAAATCTATAAATCCATTACTCTTCACCTCTTTTAACTACACTGTTAGGGGTGAAAGCTGTTAACTGTGGTCTTTAGAACGTATGTGTAAATGCAACCTTTTCCCCAAAAAACTTTAAAAATGTGCAGAATCAATAATATTTTTGATAAATGCTAGTGCTAAAGACAAGAACTACTTGTAATAAAGAAATGCATGGGCTTGATTCTTTATTTAACTGAGTCACCCCCTTATTTCCACTGCTTTGAGGAATTCACTGCAAGAGTAGGATCAGGCCCTTGATGTGTGCCAGCTCCATAGTGATATTATACCCAGACAACTGTCACTGAAATTTATATTTAGTTCCATAAGAACATCACATTAGATATCCTTAAATGTTTTATGAGGCAGGGCTTTTCTGACTATTCTGACAAAACCACCAGTACATGTAGAAACCAGAGCTGTGAACAAATACTGCACTTATGATTTACAGCACAATTGCCAGAGTCTTCCCAGCTTCATCTCTGCTGGCTACTTACTCAGGCTGTCATTTTTAGCTCCACAGATTATATCTGCCTTGGCCTCTTCCACAAACACTGGATTCACTGGAGTGTGTTGCAGACAATACAGCTCTCAAACAATGAAGCATTTGTGTTCATTTTCTTCTATTTTATCTTAGGAATTCTACTATTTAGGTCACTATCTGTTGCTCCCAGCTATTCTTTCCTGAAAAATTGTAGCTCTTTTTAGGCTTAAGAAGATAAAATCAATGAATTCATCTATGTTATTCCTCTGGGTATAAAGGTCTAGATGTAATAAGTGGTACACATAGTATAAGATTACATTGCTATTTCTGAACTGCAGCCCTAAGATTAATTGTGCCTTATAGGCCAAAATTTGAAGAGCTGCTGGGTGCTGGCCTCTCTGAAAATCTGATACAACTAACACAATAAAACCCCAGTATTACTAAATTTCTCAAATGTTTTAAATGTGATCCCTCCCTAGAATGAAGAGGAAGGGTGTGAATGTATATCTGTGTAGAATTTTAGATACAGATATGGAGAATAATGGTGAATGGATCCTCTTCCTGATTGTATCTGCCTTTCCTAAAAGAAATGAAAAAATCCACTACAGGTTTTACTTGAGAAAGATAATACTTGGATTTTAGCAAGCAACATCACTCATTGTGAAATTCATCAATATCTGTGGAATAAAAATTATACTTAGATATGGGGACATACAGGAATTCCATTTACATTACATTTAAGCTCACTGATAGCTCTACTGACATAAAAAATTGGTATGCTCTGAATGAAAAGAGGAGTGCTTAAGCAAACAGTCATAAATTAATTTATAATGAAACCTGACAGTCATAATTTAATTTAGAACGTATTTAAGATTGTTGTTACTATTTGTATAGGACTTTTTTTGCCTGGAGGAAGATGTGGCTTCATAATGAAATGTCAGCTATTGAAATACTAAATTTCATAAGTGTACATATGTATTAATTAATTAAAATTATGTAGATACTTTCCTAATGAAGATCTGTTGTCTACTTCAAGCAGTCAAAAGACTCCACGACTGAGGCATATCAGTGAGTCACCAAGAACTCAGCAGGAAGCACAAAGGATGCTGAGCACAAACTGTAAAATCTGTGGGGTGATGAGCCTGCTGCTCAACTTTATTTCTCAGTGGTGAGGGGAGGAAGAAAGTCAAGTGACAAAAATAATCAATTCTATTCAGTTTGTTAACTGAGAGATGTTATAGCAGGGCATTTAGGGATAGCCAGGCCATGACCAAAAAACCCTGGCAGTTTGTCCCACCACCGAGTAAGAAAACCATGTTCCTAAGATATTGTGAATTCTATTTGGAAAGTAATGTTTAATAAAAACCAAATTACAGGTTTTTGAAGTCTAATAAATACTAAAAATAGGTACTTAAGAAAAGTAAAATAAATAACAAAGTCTCTCCATCACTATTAATTTAAAAGCAGCAGGAATTTGCCTCAGTATCAAAATTGGTACGTGTCACACTGATCAGCAGATTCTTTAAATATTTATTTAAATATTTAAATAAGTAGCATATAGGAAGTACTTAAGTGAGTAACAACTGACAATAATTGGTTAAATTGGAGTTTGTGTCTTCATAGCATTGGAAAGTTTGCAAGGGGTTCTTTTCACACCCATCATGGAAAGAGCATTCCCCTTGTCTTACACTGAACTCTTATTTCACAGCACTGATGCTCATGATAAAGGGTGAGCCAGTATATTCTGGCCAGTGTAGGTGGGCAGCTCCAGGGCCTTTCAATTGTGGGTGCTGAGAAAATCAGCAGTTAGCTGGTTTTAAACTTTGTGAGCATGCTCAGCCACACACAGTGACAGCATTCAGGCTGTGTCGTTTCCACACAGAGCTTGGAGAGCCATAATGTGGTTAGCCTGTATTGTTTATCCATTATTTACCCCAATTTCAAACCTGGTTAAAAGTTAGTCCTTTCACATCACGGAATGAAATGTTCCTAAAAAAAAAAAATACTCAACATCTACAATAGTGCCTTCCTTTCATTTTGTCAAATCCTAATTAACAAAATTATCCCTGAAAACAAAAATTACCCTGGTTTCTTTACAGAATTGTATCTAGGGAAACATACTGGGGAGGGAATGATTGCCAAGCTGAACACTGTTGTTGCAAAAGCGTCTCTCTTATCTTTCTCAATAATATTTAATATTCTTGTGCACCAGTACCTTAAAAACCACTCTTGTAACTAATATTTAATACTGATGGTAGTAGCCTTTTCTCATTGTCTTTTGCTTGGCATCTGGCATGGTACCTGATTGAGGTGTGCTAGGAGAGCCTAAACTAAGAAAAGCATACGTTAGGTACACAGAGCAAAATATATTGTCTGGATAAATCAAATTGCTCCAATAGCTGCTGTTTGGGATCTTCACTTATTTGTCATATGGACATGCAAATCTTTTAAACAGAAAACTGCCAGCAGAGGCTTGACGATACAACAAAATCTTGTTATTTCATGGCATGTTAGCTATTGAGGGTATTATTACGATGAACTTTGAAAAGCTGAAAATGTTTCTCTGGGTTAATTTTCAGTCAGATCAGTAAACTAATCCAGCTCATGATATATATTGCACAACAGTAGCAGGGGAGGGAGCTGCAGCCACAGACTATGTTTACTGGGCACCTGCATGGGCTTTGGTGGCCTTAATCAACTGGCACTGATCCCACAGTGGTTAATACAAGCAAAAAGAACCCAGTAAATACTTCAGGACTGCAGCTGGTTGTGTGGTGAAACAGTTCGTCCAGCAAGGATTTTTAGCTTAAATGGATCAAAGGAAGCACTTTGTCACCACAAAGGGTTGAAAGGGAAATCACCAAGTTCAGGTGAAAGCCCATATGAAATCCCCATTTCACTCCCTTTTACCAGTTTCTGCCGTAGAGTATTTTCAAGAACAGCTTAGAAAAATGTGAAAAAAAAGTTTAATGATGACTTACAAATATACAATACTTACATTTTCAAGAGTTACAAAAATGGCATACTACAGAAACCAAAAGCTTCCTCCAAACTTTGGAGGAACATTTCCTAGTTATTTATTTACAAAGAAAAATTACAGTCACTTTTCATAGTGTCACATGTTTACATAGAAGCATTTCTCAGTTGAAAAATATCTTGCAGCTTACCCAGAGGCAGTTTTTGCAGTCTGAGCTCTACACCCATCTATCAGATCAAACATTCTAGCAGCCTGTTAAGCTGACATGACACAGCATTTTTGTAATGTAACAGCCTTTGTTTGGAAATATGTACAACCCAGATGGCTAAACTGATGCATAGTTGTTGAGATTTCACCTGGTCTATTATGTATTGCTCATGATTTGGTAAAATGGCATAGGCTACCTTTTTTAATTAGCTTGGAGATGTGCCTTTAGAAAAAGGTGGTCTAATTTCCTTGGGGTATTTGCAGTTCTTCCTGAAAGGAATTTAGAATATAACATGTCCTCTGCAGGACACTTTTTCACATAATGAAACTTCTGTAATAAATTCTTCCTTCTCATCTACAATTCTTACCCCAGGTAAGAGGCAAACTGAGCACACTTTCCAAAGTCTGTTCATTTCTGTTAGTTTTCTGAGGTTGGATGTTTCTTAGATTGCACTTTATTTAACCCAAAATTTTAAAACTTTCTTTTACCTGAGAGCAAACACTAGTATTTCTTAGTCTGTGTGTACTTAAGAGTCTTTTTATAGATTAGAATACTTGCAGTGATACAGCCAAAACACATCCAGCTGTTTTTTGACACCTTCATTATGTGTGCATACTTTCATGATTTTCAGGCCATGTAATTTTAACATGTGAACTCAAAAGAATCTTCATCTACCTGAATGTAGTTTGGGACTACACATTTTTAACTGATTGTTTTTAATTAAAAATAAAGTGCCTCCAGAGTATGAGTTATGATTCAGCTCCAGATCTTTTTAGATTCAAAACCAGAAAAACCTTGCCATCAATAGCTGTGAGCAGAGTTCAGAAAGTGTCTTCTAGCATTACAGTATTTCCCTACCAGCAGCTTACTTCACAGACAAAATACACTCATTTTCAAGCATCTTTAAAGAATGCCTGTGTTCTGGACTTTCTTCGTGCAAGAGCTTCTTGTTTTTTTCTTTCGATCTCCTCTTGAGAACATTTTCTATTTTTTTGTTCTACTGCAAACACTGTAAATAAAAAAAAAAAACATGAATTAGGAGCTTCAGGTTTGTTCAATGTGTATTTTAACTTAGCCATTTCCGGTGTTTGAAGATCTATGGTAGGAGCACACTATTCTGACACACCGGGCACCCAAGTTAAAAATGGCTCATCTATCCTGTCCCCAAGGCAGGAAGGGGGCAAGATGCATGACCTTTGTAGTGCTACTGATTACTACCTCCCAATGAAAACACTGGGATGCACACATTTGCTTCAAGGAAATTTCACTTGGGTGCCCTTCAAGTGAACCTTATGACATCAGAGTCAACATAGGAGATGGCGATGGGTTAAGAAAATTAAGGCTATCAGAGTGAAAAGGGCTCTACAATTTAGTGAGTTAGGCAGAGATATGAACATGGAGATAGTATAGACACAGGGGTCAGATACAGTACAGGTGTCTCACAAATAAAACAAGATAGGTTGAAAAAAGGTCAAAAGTAGCAATAAAAATTGGCAAAGGAGACAAGAACATGATAGCTGAACATAGCAATTTATATGGTGTGCTACAGAACTATAAATTCCCATACTATATAATCCTGACCTCACTGGAACCAACAGGAACACTCCTTGCACATATCAATAATTTTACCATTTTTTATACACCAATTTCCAATTAATGTATTTTTAATAAGTATTCAAAGTGAATAAATAGAACAAAGCGTATAACTTTTTTGGTTCTCACAAAAAAGTGTCCATGAAAAATTAAACAGCAATTTTTGAAAGGACCACTTAGTATCTATTTCTTGGCTAACATACTTTCCCTCAAAATTTAAGATGAAGAAAGGTATGGTTTATCTGTAAAGAAAATAGATGCTATCTTCTTTCATTCCTTTACCCTCTAGAACATTACACAGAATAACAAGTTATCTCTCCCTTTTTTCCCCCCTTATAAACCAAAATTCTGCTTTCTATTTAGATGTTTCTCTGCTGGGGAAGAAACAGATAAAATACTCATTCTTCAATAATTACTTGTTTTGTTGCCTTTGTAACAGTGCTTCTTTATAATGGAGGTTAATACAGGACACTCTTAAAGGCATGTTTTATCAGGATGAATATTGAGTAAAACTTTGCCAAACTGTGAGATCAAGTAAAGTAAGACTGACTGGCACTTGACTGGTTCTCCATTTCCCCAGTAAGTAACACTGAGCATGGAATATTACTGATGGTCTCTTGGCAATAAAGAAGTGACTGACCTCTCCTCTGGATGAAAGGGCATCTTAGTGTTTAGACTCATAATACAACAATATTTCACTGGCTATTTCAGCCACAGAGCAAAAAATAATAGAGGCTGAGCACTGAAAAGTAAAAAAGTGATTTGAGGGTCCAAATTCCAGGTGTACAGTAATATAAAGGAACTGGCATTCCATATAACCTGTGTTTTCTTCCCCTGTACCATCATTAACTATGGTTTTACTATGCATCAAAACACCAGTATTTTTAAGTAACAGTTAAAGAAAATAGTATGCTGAGTGCTGCATCAGCCTACAATTCATCCTAGGAACCTCAGTGTCTGTGAAGAGAGGGTGTGAGGTATTTAGAGAAGTGGAAAGGAAATAGGTGTCTTGAACTACAGGAATTCAAGATATGTGTCAAGACAATTTAATTTTCAGGAAAATCACCTCCAGATTCTCCTTAGAACATCTGCTAACACCTTAACTGAAGAGATGAATACTGAAGCCTATTTTAAGCTGGAATACAGTACAAATTTCTCTGACATTCTGACTACAGTAAAGAAACAAGCAGTCTAATAGTGACACAATAAAGACAAATACCTGATGTAGTCTGTGCAAAAGACTCTGAAAGGTGTCTCTTGAAAGGTGACTTCTTATTGTCAAGCTTGCGGTGCAAAGTCACGTTCACCTGATTCTTGCTTCCTTCCAAATCCTGCAGAGTAATCCCCATGCCAGAATCATTCCCTGAATTTTCAGACCCTACATGAAGATCACCCTGAGAATTGTTAATCTTTCGGAACTTAAACTTTAAAGGCACAAGTGAAGTTTTGTTACCAGAGCTGCTACTTGGAATCTTTCCCGCATTATACGAGAAATGTGAGCTGTCGAGCGCTTTTCTACTAAAAATATTTACTGCCTTAACAGGACTTACTTCAGAACCTGCTTCTCCTGCTGGCACAGAATTTGACCTGTACCATTTCCCTGAAACAGTCTTTGCAGTATCTTCAGAAGCATCTTGACAGTTTTTAGGCAGTGTGTTTTTACACTCCATAGAAGGACCTGAGATGGCAGTCTGAGGATTTGAGATGTTCTTACAGTTCACTACATGACCTGTTGTGGCCAGCCCATGCACTACCCTTGATGAATTCCTACAGGCATCGTTTAGTGAGAGAGCCTCCTGTTTTGCATTTGTTTTTTGTGCCAAGAGGAGATCGGGTAGTCCTTGTTTAGATGCTGGGAAGCTGTTATCAGCATTTGATCTGGAGTTAGTATTGGCTCCTTGAATAATTCTAATTTTTTCATTTCCTTGTTTAACATCCTGGCTCTGAGTTTGCTTTTCTATATCATCACACACCTGATATAACAATTCATCATCTTCATAGTTTGCGTCCCAAAGACTATTGGATCCACAAAACACACCTAATATCTCATCAGGGAATTTTGGTTCATTCCAGTCATTAAATGACAGAGGACATTTCTTTTGTATTTCAACTTGATTTGAGTGACCTATACTAGCTTGGTTAACCACTTTGGTTAGATCATTAGGTTTTGTATTGGTAGAAACACTGGATGACTGACAGGAAATAGTTTGAGTGACATTCCCAGGTTTTCCTGCTGGTTGTCTATGAGGATTAGGGCTTGATGAGAAAAGAGGAAGAGCATCACTTTTAGGCTTAGTAGATTCATTTCCATTCTTCATTTCAGATTGTACTGAAACAGGAATATGGCTCAAATCACTATTTTGGGTACTCTTCCAAACAGATTTAATTTTATCTGGCTTAACATCACATTTACCATGCAAGGCCTTTGTCTCTGTCTTGGTGTTTTCTGTCTTACGTGGCTTTTGTAAAGACAGTGATTTTACATGTGGCAAGTTTTTACTAGAATGTTTCAAAGGTGAACTCTGCAAAGTGTTAGATTTGTTTACAGTCCCCAGAGAAGTTACTGAATTGCCACTATTTCTTTGCTTTGTTCTGCTAGCATCACTGAATTCATGCACAAATGGATTTGCAGGAATTTGTGGTGGTTCTTCAGTACTTATCAATTCAGGATTTTGGGTTATTTGCATCACAAAAGAGTCATCTGCCAAAAGATCTGTATCCCAGTCATCAAAGTCATCATGAACTACTCCAGCAAGCTTAGCAGAGGCCACCAATTGTGCCTTCAAAGAAGGAGGATTTTTTTTTGTCAGGGTGTCAGTATCAGCTTTTGGTACAGTCTGGTCCACATTTCCTACTGCAAACAGAGTATCTTTTTGATATGCCTCTGAATTACCATGCTGTGTCTCTTCAACTTTCTCAGGAAGATTCTCCTCCTCCAAGGTACTTTTAATTTTATGAAAACTATTATTTAAAGAAATATCTGACAATCCTTGGCTCAACTGTCCGCTGCACTTCTGGGTAGAAGAGTCAAAAAGAGCATGAAGGGCTACTTCAGCGTCGAGGTCTACAGACTTTTGACTGCTGGACTGACAGGGCTCTGCCACAGGGATGCCAGTGCTCTTTCCAACTGGTTTCAGGGAAGCAGCAGGATCTGCTTCAGATCCTTCACCAAGGAGTGATTTCTGGTTTTTCGTATTTAATCCATCTTTAGAATTACTTGAAGGCTCTGAGGTGGTCTGGATGAAGTTGTGACCAAGCTTCTCCTGTTCCTGAACAGCATCTAACTCTACTAGATTTTTATCAAACTCCTTAGCCAATTTCATGAGTTCCTCTTCGGGATTTTTTATTTTAAGATCTCTGGATTAAAAAGAAAATACAGAAAATAAAGTCAGAGCTACTGAGAAAGTTTGGCCAAGTTCAGTTACATGACCCTATGAGCTGTTCATTCTCTAGTTTAACAACTACAAAGGTATGACTAAATCCCACTTCTTTCAATATGCAGCCAACATCCACCCCCTGCATAAAGACATAACAAGCCCATAGTTAAAAGCATTCTACATGCTAATGCACAATTCTATGGTTCACTAGACACAGAAGACCACATAGCCTTTTTCATGAAAGCCCAGCTATGATGGGCAAGAAAACACTGTAACTTACCTTGTGCAACTTAACTTCATCCTAGCTCGCCCTTTTACTACTATGGGTGTACACGGAATAGCATCATCACCAATCCATGTTCCTAAAAGGGAGTCTTCATTACAGGCTGCTTTTTCATCCTGAATAATGAGATTTATAATGCTTAGAAAATTGATTTCGGATAAAGACTGGATTAGACACACATCTTACATGAGTAAAAAGTTGCTAAACTTAATTAACTGGATGAAACCTGTTGAAAGCCACAGATAAGAACAAAAACAAGTGCAGTGAGATTACTGCAACGTTGTCCACTGATAGTTGCATCACTTTAATTATACCAATCTAACGCAGAAACTTCAATTAAAATAACTGAATTATACTTTTGGCATGCAAATCTAGTAGTCTACTTAAGGTTTACACACATTCATGTTACAAGCTGTCATCTAGTTTATTCCAGTATACCACTAAGGAGCTGGCTGAGAGGCCAGCAGCAATAACAAATTAGAGACCTTAAAATAATTACATTCTGTATGCTTACAGAAAAAAAAATTTTGCTTTTTGCCCTACAACTAATTTATAAAAGGAGTCTTTAAACAGAATTAAGTGACATTTAGAAACTAAATGAAATTGTTTCAGAGCTTCAAAGTTCAGGCTTGAATTTGAATTCTGAAATGAAGGAGATACAATACTGTGATGAATTGTTTAGAGGGGCAGAACAATAGGATGTAGGAAATTACTGTGTGTAAGCCAGCAAAAGTAATTTGAACTTTATTAACTTCTAGGGTTATTTAAAATAGGTTCTCTTATTCTTAGTAAATTTAAGGTTTTTTGAAATTTATTTTTGTTTAAAAAAATAAAAACATAAGCAGCAGATTACATTCGTGGCAGAACTGTAATAATTTTAAAGGTATGCAATGATATCCCTTATCAATGATTTTCCAATTCTTTTACTATAATTTCTCACAAATATGCTGAACAGTAAATATATTTTAAACAGCCCTGTCAAAAAAGCAGGCATGTTTTGCAAGCTAAATACTACGCATCTATTTTAGGAATTACATGTTTTCTTCTTGTACTTAAAATGCAACAGCACTTTGGTTTCGACTTTCTGAGCTGTGGACATCAGGTTCATGGCAAGAGGGAAAGGGCAGATACTGGGGTAAAGAGGAAAATTATTTATAGTATTGAAGCAAGGTTACTATGTTTATATTATTGCAAAATATCTCTCATCTCAGTCATGTTCTTGTACATCAGCAGTCAATCAAGACCGTTCAAAATGCTTAAAAACAACTGCCAAATAAATCCAGTATTTGAAGAAAGTCTTACCTTTTAACAGATGAGTAATTAAGGATTAAAAAAACAGTATTCTTAAGACCAAGGGCAGTAAACCTTGTATTCTGAAAGTAAACCTTTCTAAAATAGAGCTGCTGCAAGTTTCTTCATGTGTCCTTTTTTACAGCATCTGTGACTCACACAACAATCAGTAAATGCTATGCTGACTGTTTTAATTCAATCCCATTCTATAAACTAGTTTTCTACATGCCAAACTCTTACCATGACACTACTGTAACTAAAACCAAGGCTAAAACTTAAGCACTATTCCCTTTTTATTACTACACATGCAGAGCATTGTTTTAGAAAGTTACAATTACACAATTACCTGAGGAGCAATACGATTAACGATTTCCGAAATTTCTACTGCACATCTACTGGTAGACTGCTTGCTTTTTCCATTGCCTATGAAAAAAAACAAACTTCTTAAAATTTTGAAATCTATCCAGTTTGTGAAGTGCAGTACATCTCAAATAACTCAAATAGGCCTGTAAACATCGGAGATTGATTCAGTGCTGTACTGAAGAATTTATAGGTTTATAACGAAAGTAAAATCAAACAACCGTTGTAAGAGAAAAGAACCTTTTTCCAAGGAACCATTTATAACTTTTGCTACACTCGCACTCAAACAAGTGTCCTGCAGTTTGGATTTTGGTATTACCTAATCTGTGTGCAATTGGTGAATGAGAATCCCAAAAGATTTCTTGCTGTGTCTCAGTGTCATTAATAGGAGAGCTGAAAGTAGGTATTCGGGATTTCCTACTCAATGATCTCTTTGGTGTTGGTGTCTTATGTAAACATGGCTCTGTGTAAAAACAAAGAGGACCTTTATTAAAAAACAACAAATAAAAGGCAAAAATCACTTAGAATACAGAACACGTCAAGGCAAAAGAAAATGCTTTGGGAACATCAAGAATAAAAATCAAGTTCACACACACCAGGATTGCTTTACTCACAACAGGAATACTGTTCATAACTAGACATTAAATACAGGACTCTGCCAATTATATCCCCACAGAGATTAGAGAAAATTACATGATACTGACACCTTTGCACCCAGGAACTGATTGTAATGATGTCAGTTCTTACACTTGAGAGAACACTGACTTAATCTTCTATTAAGAGAAAAATTATGTATACCTCTATGAGAGAAGATTTTGTATTCTTGCTTGCTTTGTGTCTTTCACCCAGACTCTGAGCTGAACTACTTTTTTAATGGGCATCCAAACCACTCTGGGTCATAACCTACATTTGTCTGTATTTCCTCCACTGAGCCCTTCCAGCTAGGACTATTAAAAGCAGGAATATAGCTATTCAAACTTGCTTGCAGCTGCCTTTGATCAGTAAGTGAACTAAACACACTATGTGAAACTCAGCTAGTCACCCCTGCCCTTTAGAAATGATGCTGTGGATGTGGAAGCCTACAGAAATAATTTAAAAGATGCTATCACTACGGGAGGAACATCTTAGAGGATGTTTTGCCCTGAAGTGCCTAGCATGGCCATAGTGGTTTTATCCTCTCCTCGGTTAGTTCTCAGTATTTGCTGTGGGAATCACAGAATAGGTCAGGTTGGAAGGGAGCACACTGGGTCACCTTGTCCAACCTCCCTCCTCAAGCAGGGTCATCCCAGAGCACAGGCCACGGGATTGTGCCCAGATGGTTGTGGAATATCTCCAGCGAGGGAAACTCCACACTGTCTCTGGGCAACCCACTCCAGTGTAGGGTCACTGTACAGCACAGAGGTTCTTCCTCATGTTCAGGTGGAATTTCCTGTGCATCAGTTTCTGCTTGTTTCTTGTGCTACTGCTCAGCACCACTGATCAGAACCTGGTGTTTGGATATTTATATTTAGAGCAGAACTTGGCACCCTCCCTTTGGATATTTATACACATTGATGTGTACCCTCTGTTTTTTTTCGCGATGCTAAACAGACCAAACTCCCTCAGCCTTTCCTCGTAGAAGACATTCTCCAAACCACTAACCAACTTTGTAGCTGTCTGATGGACCTGTTCCAGGAGCTGCATGTCTCTTGTCCTGAGGGGCCCAGAACGGGTCACAGTATCCCAAATGTGGCCTCAGCAGGGCTGAGCAGAGGAGCAGGCACAGCTGCCTTGACCTGCGGGCAATGCTCTTCTCGCCGCACGCCAGGTACCACTGGCCTGCCCGGGGCACGCTGGCTCAACCTGCTCTCCACAGCAACAGCCCTTCCTTCCCAGGGGCCGAGCGGAGATTTACAGCGCACCAACCCCTCCTCACGGCTCGGCCGCGCCTCCCCCGCGGTCCGAGACACGGCGGGCAGGCCCGGGGCCCCCGGGGGCCGCTCCCGCCGTACCTGCAGCGCGGGGCGAGCACGCCGCCTCCCCGGCGGGCAGGCCTCGGCCCGCGCCGCCTTCCACCGGCCCCTCCTCCGCGGGGAGCTCCGCCCGCCGCCGCGCCCGCTGCTCCTCGCCGCCGCTGCGCCTCCTCAGGGCGGCGGGCCCGAGGGACAGCCCCCTCCGCCGGCTACCGGGCATGGCGGCCGCTGCGGCAGCACCGCGCCCGTCCCGCCACCGGCGGCGCCGCCATTTTGCCGGGCGGCTCGCCAGGCCGCCGCCGATTGGCCGCCGCCGCGGCGCCTCCAGCGGCCATTGGCCCCGCGCTGCGGGGCGGGCGGGCGG